GAGCCCACGTAGCTGTAAGGTGTGTCTAATGGTTACTTTACACCAGGTGCAGTGTCATTGGAAAGACTGGTTTCCTATTAGACCAGTTCACTCCCACTCCCCCCCCCCCCCCCCCCCCCTCCCCCACCTACCTTGTGGTGGTTTGCACTAGAGAAAAAAAAAAAAGTACGGCGGACCATATTTTTTATTTTTTTTCCCTTCCAGTGCAGCGTGATGCAACACAGTGCATTGAGACTGATGGAGCTGAATATAATAGCAGCTCTGTTTTAACTAGCCCTGATTCATTAAGGCGGACTTACTAAAAGAATTGAGAATCTATAAGCAGTTTCTGTTTACATATGTCATCTGAACAATTGGGTTTTTTTTCATGTGAAATGAGATTTGCTTTTCACATTCTTATTATTATACAGTATTTATAAAGCGCTGATAGTTCGCTCAGCGCTGTACATTACAAAGGGGGACAGAAAATGTGACAGAACAATAACAATACAATGCAAAACAGGAGGGGATCGAGGGACCTGCTCTTTTGAGCTTACAATCTAGGAGATGACATGACTGGATGATTGTAATAATAATTCACTTACTTTGGGGTCAATTCTCTAAAGGAGTTATCCCTCAAAGGATCAGTCTTGGCTCAAGTATGGTAGTGTATTCATGCATAAAATAGTGAGGAAAACCTAACATCCTGGTGAGGCCTCATTCACATTATTGTCTCTTAAAGCACATGATTTACTGCACTTATTGTAAATGCACGTTTACAGTGTACCCAAAATTTGTTTTCAGTATGTTTGAAACAAAAACCTGTAGATCCTGCCAATAATATATCACAACTTTTAATTGCAAGGCAGTATCTTGAAGCTATCAGACAGGCAGGTCTAAAAATGCCAACAGAAGGCGCTCACAGGGCAGGGTGACAGCGCTACTACTTGAGAGGCAGTGGCTTAAGTAAGCATGTCATTCTGCAAGAGGAAGAACACCCAGGAAGAAATCCTCCAGATAGGAAGACATGACTGTACTCCCACTACAGATACTATAGCTATGTGGAACACTCATAACACAGGTCCAGCTTCTCTTTCACAGGCTCAGGCTCAGGCAGGGTTCATGAATCCTCAGAGCAACATGACAAAGTCAATATGCGCAACATGTGCTAGTATGCCAGCTTTCTCCAGGAATTCAGGTATGTAAAATCAATGGAACCAAGTTATATTCAGGCCATTATCCAAAAAAAAAAAAAACACACTAGGATGTACCTATGCAAAGTAATATTTAAATCAATTTACTGTCACACTACCAAATTAAAATCTGTACTGCAGACAGTAATAATGTTTCATCACACTGCACAAAATATAAAAACTCAAAATTTAAACTGCAACACATAATTTTTAAGGGAAATTGTATGCTTTTAACCTAAAAGGTCACTTGGTGATACCAGTTACAACACTGTAGCAATGACTTTCAGTTGCTTGGTGGCCACAGTCATAGCCAACTATAGATGCAATTGAAAATAAGGCATTTTAAAAAAAAAAAAAAAAACAAAAAACATTCCAGCTACATTGGTGCCTGTGCTATTAAAATGTCAGGGTGAAAACAATATTCAAGTTAGGGATAAGAAACAGGAATAAAAGGTGAAGTCTAGCTCTAAGATTATGAATCTGGCATCTAAATGAACATGTGGGAGTAAATCTTCACCTTTTTGAATGCGCCACTCATAGGGACAAGATTGTAGACCTGCAAGTGTCTCTGACATCCTTAGACAGCTCTTTGGTCTTTGCCATGGTGGAGAGTTTGGAATCTGATTGTTTGATTGCTCCTGTGGACAGGTGTCTTTTTATACAGGTAACAAAATAAGATTAGCAGCACTCCCTTTAAGAGACTGCTTCTAATCTCAGTTTGTTACCTGTATGAAAGACACCTGGTAGCCAGAAATCCTGCTGAATGATAGGGGATCAAATAATTATTCCTCTCATGAACATGCAAATCAGTGCATAATTTGTTAGACATGCATTTCTTTTGAATTTTTTGTTGCTATTCTGTCTCTCAGTGTTACAATACACCTACCATTTGGTTTTTAAATTGATCATTTCTTTGTGAGTGGGCAAACATTCAAAATCAGCAGGGGATCAAATACTTATTTCCTTCACTGTATCTGGTATCACTGCGATTGTCAATAGCTGGAGAATTTATTTTGGGTTGGTCTTTGGTGGTAGGTTATGGTAGTAACAAGAAACACACAGCTAAATATAAAAAAAAAAGTTTTATTTTTATTTTGGTCCAGTTTTCCATTGATAATAGAAGAAAAAAAAGCCCAATTTGTCCTTAAAAAAAGTATAATTCACCTCCATGTACAAAGTAGTTGTGATTATATGTACGGTTTTACTAACACACGTCAGCGTTTCAAAATTGTCCTTAGGCATTTAGATTTGTTTTACCCTTAGGCGTGAAGGAATTAAAGGCGGAAGCATGTGTAGATCAGTGACCATCACCATCTTCAAGGTAACATTATTCGGGAGAACAGCATAACGCCAGGAAAGCCAGTAGGCTAGACCACGCTGGTGAGGTTTGGGAGAGGGTAGGGCAAGGACTTCCTATAAACACTAACTGACAGAGTGGAGAGGGATTAGAACACCTATTCAGTTTTTTTGTATTGTAGTCTGTGCCCTCCTTAGGGAGCTTCACTCTCTCTATTTGTCCTATTTGCCATTATCAGTGAAAGTAAAAGAAAACCCTAAATTTTGGGTTGTCCCTAGAAAAGTAATAGAGGAGAAATCTTCCAATGTGGACACTAATTCTGATGACCTGGGAGTCCCCAAGGAATTCCCTTAATTTGCAGGGATTGTCCCTCACTTCCTGTTTTGGCAATGGGACAGGAAGTGAAGGGAAATCTCTCCTATGGAATGCAGGTTGCAAAAAAATAAGCCAACAGGTGTTATAACCCTTCCTTAATCTATCCAAACTGAAAAAAAAAAAAAAAAGTTTTGCCTATAGTTCTACTTTAACATTCTCAAGAGGTATGGTGGAGAGGACACTGCGACTCAGATGCCTGGAGAACGTCTGCACCAGTGTATGGGTTAAAATTCAAATGAAAGATGCAATACTTTATCACAATCTATTTGAACACCTTTTCAAGGAAACACCTTTTCTCAGAGCAAGGATGTGGCAGAGTGAACCTTACACCTTTCTAGCAACAAAAGGAAAGAAAAAATATATATATATTTATATTCATGGCCATAAATATCAGCACCCACTGCATTTCTTTCAAATAATGCACCACTTTGCTTAGAAAATTGTTGCAATTACAAATGTTTAGGTATTTTCATTTCTTTTGTTTGTATTGGTAGGACAAAACGTGAAGAAACAAAAAGCCAAAAATGGACTGGACAAAATTATTGGCACCCTCAATTTAAAATTTGGTAGCACACCCCTTGGAAAAAACTGAAATCAATTGCTTCTTGTAACCATTCAATGAGTTTCTTACACATCTCTACTGGAATTTTGGATCACTCTTCTTTCGCCAACTGCTCCAGGTCTCTCATTGGAAGAGTTCCTTTTCCCAACTGCTGTTTTGAGATCTCTCCACAAGTGCTCTATGGGACTGAGATCTGGACTCATTGCTGACCAGTTCAGTACTCTCCAGATCTTTGTCTGAAAGCCTTACTGGTTGCTTTTTGACGAGTGCTGTGTCATTGTCCTCCTTGGGTCCTGTCTAGTTGAAAGATGCAGATAGGTAAGCCCTGGCCTAAAAAAGACAAGAGTGAGTATGGCACGGGCTTTACTGTCACCCTGATACAGCCAGACTCTCAGGATGACACCTCTAAATGGCATTCTTGACAGGACACATAGCTGCAAAGTGGTCTTATGTCAAGTTGACTCCATGAAATGAGAAAGTCATATAAAACACAAATTTGCAATTTCACTGACTTTTATATATTATATTACATCCTTAGCTAACCCAATGTCTGCAATTAGTAGACGCCACTGTCCAGTTGCCTGGGACCGATCCATGTTTATTCTTATAGGAGCTAAGACCTCTAATAATAGCAGAGCCAGCCATAGACGGAGCGATTTTCTTTCCTTTGGGTTGCAGGAAAGAAAACTGCTAGACTCCATCATCAACACTGACTGTTGATGGGGAAATCCTACTCGCAGAGCTATTGTGTTCATCCCCGCCAGGAAAACTGATTACTGTCAACGGCTATAGCTGCTAGAAATAATCGCATGTAAAATCCAACAGGCTGGTTGTACCCAAGTTGACTGATCTACTTGACTATATTCAGCCTGTCCATACATGGTTCAAATGTCAGCCAGTCCCTGCTGAACCAGCGACTGGCTGAGATTTGAACCATGTATGGGAAGGCTGATGGTAGCCAAGTTGATCGATCAACTTGGGTACATTCAGCCTGCCCATACATGGGTCAAATCTCAGCCGGTCCCTGCTGAACCAGCCAAGATTTGAACAGTCTATGGTCAGCTTTAGATACTTGCACGAACCGTAAGGCTGAATTTAAAGTATCATTCTCTGTGAGCCAGACCCCACCTCAAGCACTTCATTGTATCAATTGTGCTAGAAACAAATTATATCAGAAATTTCTACTGACTGAGGATTCCCATAGGTTGGCTACATAACATTTTTTTTCTCTTTACATATATTTAATTGTAAATTCTCTCATCACAATATACATAAAGTTCTATTCCGCTAGAAAGTCTGGATACAGTATTGAGAACAGAGGAAGCATTTTCTTATCATTTAGACAGCTTTAATAATATCTCAAGTCCCTGAAGAAGAGAAATATGTTTTCTCCACAAAGTTATTATATGTATATTTTTACTATATTATTACATTTTCACTAATCCATTTATTTTCACAGTTCTTGCACTTTAAGTATGTAAAGGATTCTATTCCAACTTAAAACTTTCAAGTGCTTAAAAAAAATGAAAAAGTGAGTAAAATTAACCATAGACCATGCTCAAATGCTTCAGAAGATATTTAGTCTGTGGCTGGATTACACATTTCTTCTGGTGTTCATAAGCAAATCCCGTTGTAACCCCACATCCTTAGTTATTCTGGATTTTTCTGTAGGGGCATCTGTAATTAGTGTAAGTTTGTTGAACACACCACGACCAAAGTAGTCTGCAACCACACTGAATCCATCATTGGAGCACTTCAGCTAGAAAAGAAAAACAAATATAAATGGAACCACCATTCTCCTCAATGGGCTAAATCTGCATTGTCTAGTAATTGACCTCCTCGATACTGTACACTTTCACCTCCTTCCTGCTCAGGCCAATTTTCAGCACAGTCAAACTTTGAATGACAATTACTCAATCATGTAACATTGTACCCAAATGAATTTTTTATCATTCTTTTCATGTAAATTGAGCTTTTTTTGTGGTATTTAATCAGCACTGACTTTTTATTTATTTTTTTGCTAAATGAATAAAGACCAAATAATTTTTCTTCATAAATTTAGGCTAAAATATATTCTGCTACATTTCTATGGTAAAAATAACCCAAATCAGTGTATATTATTTAGTCTGTGGGAAAGTTATAGAGTGCACAAACTATGGTATAAAGCAAGGTAGGCAACCTTAGAGAGGTGGAGATCTACCTGAACAACATGGGAGAAGTCAAAACATCACCAGGCACAGTGTCACCCAATGTTGCCTCCTCACCGTCGGATTTAAAAGTATAATTGCCGTACAACCGTGCCACCATCGCATGCATTTCACTGCAATTATTGGTTTAAACCAGGCAGTTACGAGGCAAAATTTTGCCTCCCTACCACCAAACAAGCTTGCATAATTTTTCAGAGGAGCAGCATTGCATAGCGAATGAACCCTCAGTTGCATTGGGCGATGGCACCCTAAAGGCTCATTCATGCATCAATTTGGGGGGTGGTAAAATCCTGTCCCCAATCCCCACCCCCTTTAGCTGCAGCAGCTGAGGGTGTACATATGCCGTGGCATGAATTTTGCCCCGTCACTTTCAGCGAGTGATTGCTACCCATTGGTGGCTGCATTCATTTTCTTGTCTTAGGCTTTTTTCCTCAGATTTGACATAATGGACTGGCCAGTAACACGCCTCCTGTATGACAGTACCCTCACTCTGGATGAATGACTACAGGGGGCCCCTTTAGACAGCAGCATTATCAGTCTGGGGTGGAGAGGAGTGTTAGATGTACTAGCAGATTCAGATACACTAACAAGTTGAAGCTCCTGCACTGCAGTTACACCAAGTTTTTTTTCTTTCTTTTGGGACAAAGCTTGTACATGAATAAATAACAGTACCCCTGTCAGTGGTAAATGGTTTGTCTTTTGAAAAATGTTTTCTTGATCAGCGCCACCAACTATAGCCAGCAGTGATGAATGTATTTTGAAATCTCCGTGCTATCAGAATACAATAGTTCAGCAGGAGGGAATCCCCCATCTACATGGAGTGTGTGGATGGGTGAATAGAGTAATTTTCGTTCACTCAGCAAGCGAACAGAAGAAAATCACCAGCCTTACTAGCCAGCTCACCAGGTGAAAATAAAGGATTGTTTGCTTTTGGGTTTAATACTGCTGTAATGATGAACTGCAGGTTTGATTTCACTTTAAATTGTTTGTTCACAATCTCTATCTTAGCCATTCAGAGGAAGCCTTACATTGATTCAGAAAATACAAAGCTTCGTGTGAATGGTTGAATGGGAAGGGAAGTCCCTGCACTGCTGCCAGAACACAGTGCTGTATACTGTATGTAGTTGATGCTATACAACTGTAGAAATATCCTCCATGGCTTAAGACTCGGGGGCGGAGAAAAACTTGTTGGGGGCATGGCTTGGATGAATTCAGCTTAGGCTGCTTTTACCTGCTAACTACTCAGGCCGGGCGAGGTGGTCAGGCTCTCTCTTCTGATTTTTACAGTGTGCCTTAGGTCTGGACAAACCTTTCCCTAGCCTTCGTAGTCAGGCTTACAAAGTCCGATGAATTGGATATCGCTAAGTGGGGGCCACTAAGCATTTATCGTGCTACATACTGTATACACAGCAGCCACATGTACTCGTAAAAGCAATAGTTTGTTAGGTGCAGCTTTCCCCCAACAACCTATTTAGAGTCAAATGAAACCTGGAGTTAGGCTTTACCTCAAACAGTTGATACAGACATAGAACATACAGTTTTACAAGACAATAGAGATTTGTAACTCTGGAGTCAATTCTACGATTTCCAGAACTCTGCTATGCTGCAACCTGAAAGTGCGCAGATGTTAATGGTGATCCAATGTCCAATTAACCTGAACTGCTGAAACAGAAGGAAAAAAGTCCGCCCTTTGCCAGGCTGTGCTGTGTGCCAGATTTATGTAAATCACAAGAATATACAGCCAGCAAACAAAGACCCCTTTTTATAGATATGAACACATACAGTTGTGTCCAAAATTATTCAACCCCCACTGAAATTGAGTGTTTTGGCCAGTTTGACATTGCTTTTTGATCATTCAGTCATCTTGCTTACATTTACATTAAAGAGGCACTTGTAGGTCAGACAAATATAACATAACAGTTATAATGAAATAACCACAAATGTCTTTTCTGTGCTCACAGCATTATCAGTTTTATTCAACCCCCAAGTGACATTCAATCTTAGTACTTAGGCATCCTTTTACAGTTTAACAGCTTTTAAACGTGAAGCATAGCTTGACACAAGTGTCTTGCAGCGATCTAATCTTCGTATCTTCGCCCATTCTTCATGGGCAAGGCCTCCAGTTCAGTCACATCTTAGGCTTGCGCACTGCAACTGCTTTCTTTAAGTCCCACCAGAGGTCTATCAATCGGATTTAAGTCTGGTGACTGCGATGGCCACTCCAAAAATGTTCCAGCCTTTCCTCTGCAACCATGCTCTAGTGGACTTGGAGGTATGCTTGGGATCATTGTCCTGTTTGAAAGGTCCAACGTCTCCCAAGCCTCAGGTGTGTGACGGACTGCATCACGTTCATCCAATATCTCCTGGTAACTGAAGAGAATTCATGGTACCTTGCACATGAAGCTTCCCTGTACCTGCAGAAGCAAAACAGCCCCAAAGCATGATTGACCCTCCACCATGCTTCACAGTAGGCAAGGTGTTTCTTTTCATCATAGGCCTTGTTCTTCCTCCTCCAAACATAGCGTTGATCCATGGGCCCAAACAGTTCTAATTTTGTTTCATCAGTCCACAGAAACACTATCCCACAACTTTTGTGGTTTGTCCACATGGCTTTTGGCATACTGCAGTCGACTCTTCTTATTCTTTGGAGACAGCAAGGGGGTACGCCTGGGAGTTCTGGCACGGAGGCCTTCATTACGCAGTGTGCGTCTTATTGTCTGGGCTGAAACTTCTGTACCCACATCTGACAAATCTTTTCTCAGTTCCTCAGCAGTCACACGGGGACTTCTCTCCACTCTACGCTTCAGGTAGCGCACAGCAGTCGAAGTCAGCATCTTCTTTCTGCCACGACCAGGTAGCGTTTCAACAGTGCCCTTTGCCTTGAATTTGCGAATGATGCTTCCTAAGGTGTCTCTTGGTATGTTTAACATCTTTGCAATCTTCTTATAGCCATTGCCCTTCCTGTGAAGAGAAATCACCTCTTCTCTTGTCTTCCTGGACCATTCTCTTGCCTTCACCATGTTTGTAACCACACCAGTAAATGTCTAGAAGGAGCTGAGTATCACAGTCATTTTAAAGCTGCCTAATTGGTGCTTATTATGCTTGATTGCTGCTCGGTGACATCCACAGGTGTTTTCAATACCTGATGGAAAGCACCTGTATGAACCTCTGTTCTTCAGAGTGGTAGTCTTTAAGGGGTTGAATAATTGTGGCAATGAAGAAACCACATAAGAACCATTTACTACTGTATTACATAAACAATTGATGTCATTTTAGTTGCATTTGGGTAGTTACAACGTCCTTGTAGGATTTGATTCTGAATACAATTCCAAATGTACACTATAGTCCAACCCCTTTACAGCATTGGGGGTTGAATAATTTTGGACACAACTGTACAATGCAATTCCAAACTTCTAGATTTACATCTAAAGCAATTTTTAGCCGATTTCAGGCATTTTTATTTCAGCATTTTTGTGTGTGTAAATGAGCCAAATAGAAACATATTTCAAGAGTTTAAATGCGTATTTGTCTGAATGTCTATTTTGGTTTTAGCCAATGGAAAGCAGTGTAGCTCATGAAGCGTCTGGTGCCCAGCTACAGGTGCCTGAGCATTGATATGTGAATGGCCACCATTTAAACACATTGGATTTTGTTTGCTATAAGCTTCAAGCTACAAAAATCTCAGGTGGGAATGGGTCATATAATTAGAATTTGTTCCTATTATGCAGTATGTGTGTTTACACTAAAAAGCCCCTCATTGCTGGGGACACTGACCAGGTGGTAGGTATTGCAAATATAATGTGTGAGCAACTACCTTCTTGGATTACCTTCTATGGAGTAGTAGAAAATGCCATATGAAAGGGCGGGTACAAATAAGTAATTTTGTGGGGCGCTGTCTTTAAGTGTACTGGCTCTGCTTCCAAAGGGTACTATATCAGGGTAGTGAATTATTAGTGTCTACAATTTAATCTGTAGTCAATATAGGATAATTCAGAGTCATTCTTAATGGGTTACATTTCTTGGACATTCAGAACAAGCAGGTTTTAGTTACATGCTCCGAGTACACTGGGTTACACAGAAACCACTGGCTGGTTCGCACTTTCTGCATGGTAAAACACCACATTTTGCTGTGCAGGAATTGTCAGTTCTGGCTGGTGGTGACTCCAAGATTTAACCACCTCCCACCCGCCATATAGTCCAATGACGGGCGCAAGGTGGTTCTCTCGTTCTGGGAGGACGTTATATGAAGTCCTCCCATTCTCGCCGCGCATGCACGGCTCAGGGAGTGCGCAACGCAGCAATCGGCGGTGCGCTATGTCCCTCGGACACAGCGGGATCACCGATTCATGGAAAGAGCCGAAGATGTCGGCTCGGTCATGTGATTAGCTGTGTCCAATCATAGCTGATCACATGTAAATAGGGAAATGCCGGTTATCGGCATTTCTCTCCTCTCGAGCTGTCATGCTGACAGCTCGTGAGGAGAAGAGAGCCGATAATCGGCATTCCGCGGAGGAGACATGTACACTGATCATCAGGGCACTGATGATCAGTGTGCCCTGATGATCAGTGTAGCCCCAGCAGTGCCACCTGTCAGTGTCCATCAGTGCCACGTGCCAGTGCCCATCAGTGCACAGCAATGCCACATATCAGTGCCCATCTTATCTGCCTTTCAGTGTCACCCATCAGTGCCAGTCAGTGCCACCTATCAATGCCAATCAGTGCTGCCTATCAGTGCGCATCAGTGTCGCCTATCTTGTGCCATATATCAGTGCCACCTACCACCGCTTCCTCATCAGTGCCACCTATCAGTGTCCATCACTGCAGCCTCATTAGCGCACATCAGTGAAGGAGAAAAATCACTTATTTACAAAATTTTATAACAAAAACGAAGAAAAAAAGCTTTTTTTTTTTTTTTTTTTTAATTTTCAGTGGTTTTTGTTTTAAGAAAAAATAAAAAAACCCAGAGGTGATTAAATACCACCAAAATAAAGCTCTGTCACAAAAAAATGATAAAAATTTCATATGGGTACAGTGTTGCATGACCACGCAATTGTCATTCAAAGTGCGACAGCGCTGAAAGCTGGAAATTGGCCTGGGCAGGAAGGGGGTATAAGTGCCCTGTAGGCTAGTGGTTAAAGAGGTGATCACTATTTACTTTATTTCTTTTAAACTTTACTGTCAGTGTGACATTTCATTAAATTCTATGCATCACAGCACAGCTTGCAGTAGGGAACATAAAAATGCAAATACAGTGCATTCAGAGAGTATTCAGACTCCCTTCTCTTTTTTTCTCATTAAGCTAAAAAATTAATTAATTCATTAATCTACACTCAGTACCTCATAAAGACAAAGTATAAACAGAATTTTAGAAATGTCTGAAGAAAACTGGCAGTGAAATGGGAGGCACCCGAGCTAAATTTCAACAGTTGTTGCACAGGGTCTGAATTCTTAAGCCAATGTGATATTTCAGTTTTTAATTTTGAATAAAATTCACAAACATTTCTAAAATTCAGTTTTCACTTCGCATTATGATGTACTGGAGTGTAGATTAATGTTATATTAAAAAATTAATTCAAACAATTGTAGTATCAGACTGCAACATAACAAACTTGAAAAGAGTGAAGGGTTCTGAATACTTTCTGAATGCAGATTTCCCCACATTTCCATTCGAAAGAAGGCTGCATTCAAGTGTTTCCATTTATCCCTAACCACTAGAGCCCATGAGACCAGTTTAAAAAATTCTGTCTCTGGTAGAGGTATCCTTCTCTCCTTTATCATGTCTACCTCTCAGTATCTGACCAACGTTGGAGCAGTATATCCCAGCCAGGGACAATGAACCACATTTGGTAGGCATCCTTCCCTATCAAAGCAATTTGGGACCAGATTCTTATGATCTACACTAGTTACAAATATCCCCAACTATCCTCATGTGGTACATCTCTCCATGAATCCCCATCTCTATCAAGAGAGCTAAAAACAGAGGTCAGACACTTTACAACTTATAGGAGACAACACAGGTCTCTACCATACTGGAATTGGCCACCAAATTAGATCATATTGAATGCATGGAATCACTCCTAGCCCAGGAAATAGATACCTGTGATCAGTGTACTCATAAATGTGGAACTCATGGTAGGTTACATAGTTAGTCTGGCTGAAAAAAAAAGACAAAAGTCCATCTAGTTCAAACATATAAAAAAAAAAAGTTATAATCCTACACCCACAGTTAATCCAGAGGAAGGCAAAAAAAACAGCAAAGCATGATCCAATTTGCTCCTGCAAGGGAAGAAATTCCTTCCTGATCCCCCAAGAGGCAAATCGGATATTCCCTGGATCAACTTTACCTATAAATGTTAGTATCCAGTTATATTCTGTGTATCTAAGAAACAATCCAAGCTTTTTTAAAAGCAATCCACTGAGCTGGCCAGAACCAACTCTTGAGGGAGTCTATTCCACATTTTCACAGCTCTCACTGTGAAGAAACCTTTCTGTATTTGGAGATTAAATTTATTTTCCTCCAGACATAAAGAGTGCCCCCTTGTCCTCTGTAATGACCTCAGGGTGAATAGCTCTACACAGAGTTCACTATAAATGTATTTATACATGTTGATCATATCCCCCCTTAATATCCTCTTTTCAAGAGAATAAATTCAGTTCCTCTAATCTTTCCTCATAGCTGAGCTCCTCCATGCCTCTCATCAGTTTGGTTGCCTTTCTCTGTACTTTCTTCAGTTCCCCAATGTTCTTTTTGTGTATTGGTGCCCAAAACTGAACTACATATTCCAGATCAGGTCTTACTAATAATTTGAACAGGGAAATCATGTGTACAGAAAATCCCAGGGATGCAAAAAGCTCATCGGAGCCTAACATGGCACCATCATCCTCCTCATATATGGGTAATCCCTGTGAAGGTCAACCCCGTTCCACCCATTTTTTTTTTCTATTCCCACTTCCCTATTCCCCCCAGTGGCTTATCTTCTGTTGTGATCTATCCCTTTTCATCTTTTCAAGCAGTGACTACAGGATGTTATCAGCTCAGAAGATTTCTGACAAAATCAACAGGTATTTTTTGCACTTCATTGAAACCGATATAGGAAAACATTTTCAATAAGATAATTATCAGATCGAAAGGGAGCAAACAAGAGAAGTTCATCATTGGGGTTTATGTAAACTTCACCCAGTGTGGTGTAAGCAGTTAATATCAACCACTGCTTGGATGACATGTAAAAGCCCTAGGCAGACACCGTATACCCTTAATGTCTGTCCATGCTTATATCACCAATTTGAACAAGATACAGCTAAATGATTTTGCTTTTGGTTTTTTGGGGGAAAAAAAGGAAAAGAAAACCTGGTGCTGGAAGTGGTCATAGAGATCTTTCTTCTCCTCCTGGGCCCTGATCATGTCAAGGACTTGGCGGTTCTCAGGCAGGCAGGTTGGGCAGTCGGAGTCACTCTCTGCATAGCTCTCAAAGCAGTGTTGGTGAAAGGAATGGCCGCACAAAAAGTGCACAGATGGAAGTTCTAGAGCACTACTGCAGATACTACATTTAGTCTTCTGGAAAATCTTGGGGCTGCATAAAAAGAGACAGATTCAAATCTTCCATAGTTCTAAACAATAACAATGGTAAAGCTGAACTCCAGACATAAAAATCTAACCCAAAAAAAACCTTGAAAACCAAGTTATTACCTAGTGCAAGTAGCAGTGACATAATTATTATTATATCATTATTATACAGGATTCAAATAGTGCCAACAGTTTGCTCAGCGCTTTACAATATAACGGGAGACAATACAGCAACAATACAGTTCAATACAAGAGGGATAAGAGGGCCCTGCTCCTTGAGGAGCTTACAATCTAGGAGGAAGGGGCTAGTGGTACAAAAAGGCAGTAACTATGGGGGATGGACTGGTTGGAAGAGTAGAAGATTCTATTAGCCGAGGACAGGATAGGCTTCCCTGAAGAGATAGGTTTTCAGAGATCACCTAAAAGTGAGCAGAGTAGGCGATAGTCTGATAAACTGGGGTAGAGAGTGTCAGAGGATGGGGGAAGCTCTGGAGAAGTCCTGGAGACTAGCATGAGAGGAGGAGACAAGGGAGCTAGAGAGTAGGAGGTCTTGCGAGGAGCAGAGAGTACGGTTTGGGTGATATTTAGTGACAAGATCGGTGATGTAATTTGGGGCAGAGTTATAAATGGCTTTATACGTTATTGTTAATGTTTTGAATTTTATCCGTTGGGCAATGGGAAGCCAGTGGAGGGATTGGCAGAGAGGGGTGGCAGATACAGAACGGTTAGTAAGGTGGATGAGTCTGGCAGCAGCATTAATGATAGACTGAAGAGGGTAGGCCTGCGATGAGGTAGGCCAATGAGGAGGGAGTTACAATAGTCAAGGCGAGATATAACAAGGGAGTGAATAAGTTGCTAGTGATTTCCGAGGTTAAGAACGGCGTATCTTGGAGATGTTGCAGAGGTGAAGTCTACAAGATTTGGACAGTGAATGGATTTGGGACTGGAAGGACAGATGGGAGTCTATGATTACACCTAGTACCAGGCCTGGCAGGAGGGGAGGGACTGATGATTGTGTTATTGATGTTGATGGAGAAGTCAGGGGAGGGGGCACGGGCTGGGGGGAATACTAAGAGCTTAGTTTTGGAAAGATCGAGTTTGAGGAAGTGGAGTGACATCCATGCAGATATGTCACTTAGTAGGTTAGTAATGCGAGTGGAGACTGAAGGGGGGAAGTGAGGGGTAGAAAGATAGATTTGTGTGTCATCAGCATAGAGATGGTACTTAAAGCCATGGGAGTTTATCAAGTGACCAAGGGAGGAGGTGTAGATGGAGAAGAGAAGGGGTCCAATGACAGAACCTTGAGGGACCCCTACAGAAAGAGGAAGGGAAGAGGAGGATGCATCGTTATAGGTAACGCTGAAGGAGCGCTGCGATAGGTAGGAGAACCAGGAGAGAGCAGAGTCTCTGAGGCCAAGAGAGTGGAGTTTTTGAGGAGGAGGGGATGGTCAACTGCATCAAAAGCCACAGAGAGGTCAAGTAGTAAGAGTACAGAGTAGTGGCCATTGGTTTTAGCTGTTAGTAGATCATTAGTGAGTTTTAGCAGAGCAGTTTCAGTGGAGTGTAGTGAGCGAAAGCCAGACTGTAGAGGGTCAAGAAGGTTGTTGTCAGTGAGGTAGGAGCTCAGGCGATTGTAGACTAAGCGTTCTAGGAGTTTAGAGGTAAATGGCAGCAGGGAGATGGGTCTTAAGTTGCTCAGATCGGTGGGGTCCAGGGAGGGCTTTTTAAGTATGGGAGTGATGTGTGCATGCTTTAGAGGGGAAGGTACCAGTAGAGGGGGAAAAGATTGAAGATGTGAGTGAGGGAACATAGGATGGAAGAAGAGGGTGACCGTAGTAGTTGTGAGGGGACAGGATCCAGGGGAGCAGGTAGTGAGACGGGCTTCTGAGAAAACCTTAGTGACCTCTTCGGTAGTAGCAAGGTCAAGAGGAAAGAGTGTTGAGGGAGGTTTAGTGGGTATGCTAAGTGGGATGCTAAGTGGGATGGATGTCTGTGCAGTGGCAATGCCCCTACGAATTGCGTCAATCTTGTTTTTAAAATGATTTGCAATCTCGTGAGCACTGAGTGAGGTACTGGGTGGAGGTGGAGAAAGTAGAGAGTTAAAAGTAGAGAAGAGACGACAAGGACTGGATGACAAGGTAGTAATAACAGTGACAAAGTAGGCTTGTTTGGCAGCATGAAGGGAGGAATTGTATGTTAAGAAAGCAGATTTATATAGGGTGAATGATTGTTGAGATTTGGTTTTACGCCACAATAGCTCCAGTGCACGACTATGTCATTTAAGATTTCTGGTGTCGTCAGTCTGCCAAGGTTGTAATGGTTGGGGCCTGATGCTTCGTGTTGTTAGAGAAGCAAGTGAGTCTAATGTAGATGAAAGTGAACTGTTGTAGACAGAAGTGGCCAGGTCAGGGCAGGACAGGGGAGAGATTCTGTCATAGAGTTGGTCAGTTGCAGAGTGGAAAGGAGCAGTGTTCAAGTTGTGAAGGTTTCTGCGGGTAATGATGCACAGCCTGTGCAGAGACTAGAGCTGTGAAAGGGACCCAGCAGATCCACTTACTACAGGCTGCCTGCAGAGAACTACAAGAGGGGGCAGATACAGGACCAGCAGTGACCGGCCTTCATTACAGGAAGCTCTTGCACACAGGCAAAGTTTCCTGTTGGATTACTACACAGATCTGGAATACACACACACACAAAGTACACCATGGTTCAGGTAAGAAAAGATATGCGGTTTGTATTTAGACAATATTTGCTGATCTTGAAGTTCAGAGTTAAAGTGAATCTAAAGATTAAAATAAAAAAATTTTTTAAAAAACCCCACACAACCAACCATGTTATACTTACCTGCTTTTTGTAATGGTTTTCGCACAGAGCAGCCCCGATCCTTCTCTTCTGGGGTCCCCTGGATCCTCCCCCTTGACGAGTGCCCCCAATAGCAAGCCTCTGGCTCAGCCCCACCCTCGCTCTCCTCATTGGCTCACTGGCTGAGATTGACAGTAGCAGGAGTCAATGGCTCCCATGCACATTGCTGGATTGAGATGGGGCTCAAGTAAGTATGGGAGGGAGCTGCTCCCCCCGCACCCCCCCCCCCCCCCCTTATACTTACTTGAGTATACAACGCATGAAGGTAAAAAACCTTCTGCCATTAGAATCACTTTAAAGCCTAAGTCCATGTTTCCTTGCACTTTTTTCCTTTCACTTTAGGCTTCCATTGAATGACTAAAAAGCAATCAGCCCAGCACGATTTTTTCAGCAGAAGACAGGAAGTCACCCGTGATGCTGCCTAAACACAATGCTGTATACTGTGTGTAGCTGATGCTACTACAGAATTATATGTGGCAGAATAATAGTTATGGAAATTGATGCCCAAACAAACTCCTAGAAGTGAAAATAAACAGGGACTTAGGCTTGAAATTACAGTTACATAGTCTGACTGAAAAAAGACAAAAGTCCATCCAGTTCAACCAAAAAAAAAAAGTTATAATCCTACACCCACAGTTGATCCAGAGGAAGGCAAAAAAGAAACCCCCAGCAAAGCATAATCCAATTTGCTCCTGCAGGGAAAAAAATCCTTCCCGATCCCCCTGGAGGTAAATCGGATATTCCCTAGATCAACTTTGCCTATAAATGTTAGTATCCAGTTATATTCTGTGTATCTAAGAAACAATCCAGGCCTTTTGTAAAGCAATCCACTGAGCTGGCCAGAACCAACTCTTGAGGGAGTCTATTCCACATTTTCACAGCTCTTACTGTAAAGAAACCTTTCCGTTTTTGGAGATTAGATTTCTTTTTGTCCAGACGTAAAGAGTGTCCCCTTGTCCTCTGTGATGACCTCAGGGTGAATAGTTCTACACCGAGTTCACTATATGAACCACTGATGTATTTATACATGTTGATCATATCCCTCCTTAATCTCCTATTCTCAAGAGAGAATACATTCAGTTCCTCTAATCTTTCCTCATAGCTGAGCTCCTCCATGCCTTGTATCAGTTTGGTTGCCCTTCTCTGTACTTTCTCCAGTTCCCCAATGTTATTTTTTGTGAATTGGTGCCCAAAACTGAACTGCATATTCCAGATGAGGTCTTACTAATGATTTGTACAGGGGTAATATGATATCTCTCTCTGAAGTCTATACCTCTTAATACAAGAGAGGATTTTGCTCGCTTTAGAAACCACAGCTTGGCATTGCATGCCATTATTAAGCTTGTGATCTACCAGAACTCCCAGATCCTTCTCCAACATTGATTCCCCCAGTTGTGTTCCCCCTAGTATGTATTATGCATGCATATTCTTAGCCCCCAAGTGCAGAACCTTAAGGATGTCTTGTAAGTTGGAGACATTCTGAAATCAGAAATTGAACAAAATGGCAATGTTTTAGAAAACCGTTAAAAGTCTGCTTGTATCGTCAGTAACACTATTCTTTTCTAGATTTAAAAAAAATAAAATAACTTGCAGCCAAAACCCTCTGTGTAGTGTTGGATAGAAAGGGGAAAGGTGGTCTATCAGGTTTTTAATGCAGTTCTTGCTGGGTAGATGCAGCCTCTCTATTTGTCCTGGTTACCATTGCCATAGGGACCGAAAATAATAGGAAATCCACAATTTTACAGCTGTCACTAGAATAAGAGGTGAATGTGAATCTTCAAAAAGGAGACACCTGTTCAGGTGATAAATAAGAGTGCAATTCCCCTTAATTTGTAGAAATCTCCTCTAACTTCTTGTTGCATATATGAGACAGGAAGTAAATGGAAATCTCTACAACAGGACAGAGACAAAAAAAAAACAAAACAAAACCTACAGGGTTGTTAACCTTTCACTACTCTATTCAACCCAAAAGATATACATACATGTAATAAAAATGTATTCCCTGTAATTGGATTATTGCTAGAGAGTGCCAACAACCATCAATCAAATCTTTTCATTGTAAGCCTGACTGGCAGCTGTAGGCAGCAGAGTACACTCATGCGGTGCTAGCTGATAAAGAAGGTCAAGCAGGAGGTCCAAGAGGTC